CTGGACCCGCCTACTATCCTCAGAACGTAAAATGATTGGCTAGAATCTAAAGTGTATCACAGCTCAGGAAATAAAGCACCAAAATGTGCGCTGCTTTTCGGTCTGGTTACTACCGTTTATGTCAGAACCGGTGCCATCATGGCACCGGATACCGGTACCCATCCCTAGTGGTGTCAGTTATCTGCTCCTACAAGAGTGAGAGGGAGACATCATTGAGCATCAGTGACCCGATGCAGCAGAATAAGCTTTGGAAATCCTGCTGCTGTAGCTCAGATGACTGTGTGTACCCCTTATTGTTTATGAGTAATGAGTTAAATTTATGCCTCTGATGAACCGGCATTATGTCATACCATGTCTAATGTGTAAGAACCACGAATTTTCCAGTCGTGACATTATGGTTTTGTTTCCCTTTTTCTGTTTTTCCAGGGCAGGATGGGAAATTCAGAGAGCCAGTACAGCATTCAGGGTCCCAAAGGCACCAGCTTGATCTTCCCCGGGAAACAGAAGCCATATTCATTAAAGCTAGGCTCAGCCAAAGGTGATGCTCTGTCTCCTCATTCGTGGTGGAAAAACGCTCCAGTAGGCTCGGGGTACAAGGCCAGGTGCGTCGGCCGCGGCTGTCTGTCGCCTCCTAAAAGCCGACAGCCTTACTCCGCCCGGCTCTGCGACTACGTCTCCAAAGGAGTGAGGGGAAGCCCGGCTCAGCACCGCTGGCATCGGTCCCCTGGATGCGGCATAAGGAAGCGGCACATGTCAGATGATGATAATCCATACGGGGTTGAACTCAACGGGCACGCCCTGAACGGAGATGACGACGAGCACGGGGATTTAGGGGAACAAAGCAGCCCGCGGGTGGTGATCAAAAAGGACGGCACGCTCAGGGTGGAGTTCACCAACACCTCTGGGAATCCTCTCCACCTGGATGAGGCCACTGGCCCGGTCCAACTCCTCAAGTTCTCCCCCAATGTGGAGTCGGCATCGACTCCCAGTCTGCCCGGGTCCAGTGGCGCTCCGCTTCCAGCCTCTACTTCCTCCACAGCCAGAACCAGCAAAGGCAGCTCGCTGAGCTCCGACGGCTCCTGGTATGACTCCCCCTGGGGGCTGAGCGCAGAGCTGTGTGAGCAGGACCAGCCTTGCTCCGCCAGCAGAACGTTAGCACACTCCCCCATTCACCAAATTGTCTCCTTTGCAGAACAGTCCCCCCCTTTGTCCATCACAGATCTGTACAAAGACCCCACAATGGCTGCGACTTTCCCCACAGCCAGGGACTTGTCCTCCCAGTTACACGAGCCGCCGCCGGGCCAGAGGCCGCACCGAGCGTCCTTTGCGTCCATCCTGGACGTTCCTTTGGAAGAAGAATGCCCAGAGCCCCGCCAGTACTCTTCGTACACCCTGCCCTGTCGCAGGCCCAAATCGCACACCGTCAGCGAGAACCTGCACCAGTACGGTGACCAGGGGCAACGGCAGGAACAGGTGGGGCTGGATTTCATCTTCCAGAAGAAAGACTCCATCAAAAACCGCATCAGACGCTTCAGCGACTGGACGGGCAGCCTCAGCCGCAAGAAGAGGAAGTCTCAGTCTCAGGTGAGCCTGTACAAGATGGGCTTTGGGGTTTAGTCACGACTCTTTAATGAATTACACTCTTTTATCACTCACAGGATGCATACAGATGATTTTATAGTTTAAAATCTTAGTGCATCTTCATAAGTAGCCCAAGAAGGGAGTGGTCATCAGACAGTTTCCCTCCTGGCAAGATTTATGTGATTGCGGGCCACAGCGGTTGTCCTGGCATGGCTGGCAACCAACCACCGTCCTCTGGTCCTTTAGCAACACAACACCAGCTGTCTGAGGACAGGACGCAGCGGGGTGACACGAAATGAAATCTGTAAAGCAGCCAGGGCTGGGTCTAGTTGTTCTAGTGAGGAGGGAACAATGCCGAAGCATGGACGACGCTCCGACGAAGAGGAGTGCGGGGCTGGTAATCAGATACGAATACTTTTACTGGGTGGGTAAATAGTAGTATTATTGCACCAAGACTGTTTTCTAGCAACGTGCAGGACTTTCTTTTACACGTTTAGCTCGTTCGTTTACAAGTCGGATCGATTAATCGTGTTACCGAAGATGTCCGTGGGAGGTGCGTTGAATTTTGAGCGGACAGCTGATCGTCGTGTGAGTAAAACGATACCTGTGCTGTGAGGAGAGCAGCCTGTCAGCCCGCTGCCTGCACGTGCTCGCAGGAACGCCTGATTTCGGTTGTACAAACATTTTAGAAGCTTTAATTTGACCTGAAACATTTGCTTAAACTGAGCCTGAACTCTCGTCCCTCCCGTCTTTGAGGGCTTGAGAGCAATTGTTCCTGCATTAATTCGTTTAGCTTTGCCTTGTAAAAGTTTTCAGAAGGCTGTTTGGGTGCTGCCAAGAGAATAGCTGTAAGCCTTTGAGAGGATCTGCAGAGTGAGACTAAAGCCGAGCTGAAGATTTAACCCCTCCTCTAACGTTAATGAGTGACTTATGTTTGTTCTGGTTGTTGTGTTCAGATTCTCGGGTCTCCCCTCGCACGTTCCTCGGAGAATAAATCTGCTAATAGGGATTGGTGTTCAGTCGGTTGAGTCTAGGAGCAAAACAAAGGGCAGAGAAGAAGAAATGAGAAGGCGTTTTCTTCTCGGAGACTGTGTAAGCTGCTTCTCGTGCTCAAACGTCCGATTATTTGCAGTGAAATATGCGAGAAGCTTTGCCGTGACGCAGTTTCCTGACCCTGTGCTTACTCGCCTCCTTCTAAAGCTGCTGCTTCGCATTACGCTGCGCTAATTTATAACCACGTGCTGGTGCAGGATCGATCTGCTCCGGTTTCCTCGTCCAGAAGTAAAATTCAAACAAGTGGACCGAGGTCTGGTAATCAATGCTGATTACGGGTAATTGTGTGAAGCACATAAATACTTACAAAGTCTACATTTCTGGTGCAGTTTGGTATAAACTAATTGAACCAATCAGGCAACTTCACAAACAAGTCAGTGATTAATGCTCGGGGGTTTCCTTTCTCCGTAATCAACGGGGCATGCAACAAGTTCTCGTTAAAGTCATTGAGCTGTTTAAAACTATATTTCCTTTTTCCTTTGGGAGCTGTTTCGATGCCAAACTTCGGTGTGCAATATCTCTGCGGGCTGGTCACAGCGCCTCCTTTCAGCAGGTCATCAGCTCTTGTTCCCCTGGACTCGTGGGTTTAAAGGTCACATAGCGACCCCGATGCCAAAGACCAAGAATCTGCTTGTAATGAAAAGCAGATGGAGGACGGTGAGGAGAGGCTGGATAGAGGAAACCGGCCCTCTGCACAGCGTGCATCTACAGCTACTAACTAAACAACGGTGCATTTCGTGGTTGCTACAAGAGGACGAAATGGTAAACAAAGCCCGTCGTCAAGCGAGCGCCGAGTTCACCGGGTTCAGTCCTGCTGCGAAACTTAAACATGAACCCTTTGCTGCCTGGTTACAGGGCGCAGCGAGGCAGAAGTGCATGCTAAATATGCAGAAGGGTGAGTGCGGATGCAGCATGAAATGCGCATTAAGGACTGAGAAGACGCAGACAGGTTGGAGCAAAACACATTAATAAACAAAAGATTGGAGACAGAGCTCTGTCGTGACGGCGTGCACGTCTGCACGCTGTTGCCAGGGGCGGAATCGATGCTCCGATCTAGTCAAGTGTAGGCAGGCTGTCATTAGGCTTGAAAGGGTGCAATTCCATCAAGTATTCATTTGGGGAATTGGGAAGCCAAAGCAGACCTCAAATGACGTGAAATTGTCTGAGCCTGGAGGGTGCCAACCTCTCAGGTGCCATCACAGGAAATTTGTCCCACTTTTTCAGCCTAGGAAGGATTTCGAGACTGTAACGCAGACTTTGAAGTAGGTTCGAGTGGTTTGCCTCGATTTTTCAAAAGTTTCGCAGTGCCCTGGGGCTAATTGAAAGAAGCAGAGTTGATTTGTGTCCCGCTGTAAGCTCACGGGTACCTACAGAAGTCTGCACACCTGGAGGGCAAACATGCTGTGTTTTGCCTAAATGTGGATGCAGCCAAGTTTGTAATCCACAGCCCCACACTTCTGATCTTCCTCCAATTGACTTTTCTCACACTCTTCATTCACTTTTCACCTTTTGTGCCTCCTCAGGAACCCCGCTACAAGGACCTGAGTGATACCTTTGACAGTGGGGTGGATGGTCTGACTGCAGACACCAGCTCCCCCTCCCAGGTCTCCAGCCTCCTCTGGTTTCCCGGAGCCTCCAGGGCCCAATCTTCAGGAGCCATTCACCAAACGACCAACGATGCCCTTCGCCAGAACATCTACGAAAACTTCATGAGGGAGCTGGAGACGGGTACCGGGCAGGGGGGAGGCGAGAGAAGAGTGCCGTCCACCGGCACCGAGGAAGACGAGAGCAGCAGCGAATCTGCCGAAGGCTCGCTCGAGCAGCTCGACCTGCTGTTTGAAAAAGAGCAGGGGGTGGTTAGGCGGGCCGGCTGGCTTTCCTTCAAACCCCTCGTTACCCTGCACAAGGACAGGAAGCTGGAGCTGGTGACGCGGCGCAAGTGGAAGCAGTACTGGGTGACCTTGAAAGGTGAGCTTCGGCGTCCTGTCCTTGAAACTCAGATGAATCCATTTTTCTGATTCAGTGCAGGATTTGTGCTTTTATGTCTCAATGTCTGCTGAAGTTCATTGCTTCGATTATTTTTCCCGTTGAACAAGGACACGGTGTCTGCAATAATCACACGGTAAAAGCATTTCCTTCCCTTTCCAGGCTGCACGTTGCTGTTCTATGAAACTTACAGCAAAGGCTCTCCGGAGCAGGAGCTGTCGCCCCGCTACGCCCTCCTGGCCGAGGACAGCATCGTGCAGGCTGTTCCTGAGCATCCCAAGAAGGAGAACGTGTTCTGCCTCAGCAACTCGTATGGAGACGTCTACCTCTTCCAGGTGAAGAGTCACCTGACTCCTGTGCTTCTCAGAAAGTCTTTGCACACATGCTGGTTTCTTTTTTCATATGAAATGAGCTTAGAGCCCAAGTCTCATTTAAAAAGGGTTTAACTGATTCTCATCCAGTCTCCTCTCAGGATGAAACGAGCACATTAACCTTGATTTAAGCAGGAGTCTTTCTGCTGCCTCCTGATGATCTTTCTGAGATAAATGGTGCAGTAACTTTATCGTGCATGTAATGGAAATTCTGGTCAGCGGTTTGAGCTCCTCGTTTCTTTATTTCCCTTCCAGGCGAGCAACCAGACCGACCTGGAAAACTGGGTGACGGCGATCCACTCCGCGAGTGCCTCACTGCTGGCCAAGCGGCAGGGGAAGGAGGATACGGTGCGGCTGCTGCGGAGCCAGGTGCGCGCTCTGCTGCAGAAGATCGACATGGACGGGAAGATGAAGAAGATGGCCGAGCTGCAGCTGACCGTAGTCAGCGATCCAAAGAACCGCAAAGCTATCGAAAACCAGGTGAGCAGGCGGCGATGAGGCTCGCACACTTCCTGCCGTTGAGACAAATTCTCAGAGAAAATCTGCAGCGGCGACGAACGGATTCGGTGGCGTAACGAGTGCTCGTTTCACGTTTCAGTTTTTAAACTCATCTGCGTGTCGTTACCCTGCATAATTCGTGGTGAAACCACACGATGCGCCCTACTTCATTTTCCTGATTATTTCTGTTTTGGACTGCGGCGACGAGCCTGTGTTTCATTTTCGTCTGCGGGTGGGTGAAGTGGCCTAAATGCTTCGGTCCCAAACGCGTCGCGAGGGGCCCAGGGGAGCAGCTCTCTCTCCAAACATGTGATTGGGTTTCCAGATGTTTCCCGGTAATGGGCTCTCAACGTGCATTATCCTCTCCCTCCTCCTCGCAGCCGGAGGGAGAATCCGAAGCACCCAGCGCTGTTTTAGCCTACATACAGCAGATCACAAAGTGGCTGGAAAAAGCTCCAAACCTGTAGCTTAGCAGGAAGACAAACACTGACAGGAAGTCAGTTTGTTTTGCAGCGTCAGGCTGTTGTTGTGGTCGGTCCGTTTCATTTTTTGCACATTAGACACGAGGACCTGATAAAAGCTCACTGCAGGGTTGATCCGTGGAGATGTCACCGCCCAACTTTGTCCTCAGGTCTGTTTTCAATTAGCTGCTACGCCGAGACAAGAAGACGGACATGGTTGGAGTCAATGACGGGGTCAGGACTCTGATAAAGACGCCATGAGGCTGATGATAGATTTAAGGTTCTGGGGGAGTTGTGGAGCACCAACAGGGCACTACTTTGATGTCTCTGCCTACCCCCACCTATGTCTACGGTGCCAGTAGATGTTTGAAG